GCCATCCTCACACTTCCTGACACAAAGGACCCCATTGCAGCAGTCACCCTGTCAATCCACCTGGTTAAGGGTCATCCTCTCTTTCACCACAGTTCAAACATGTCAATTCTTTTCCTGACATCTTTATTTACTATCCCGCTCTCAGAGACATAGCAAGCAATCAGAAACACCCTGGCCTGGATTAGAGGCGTCTTAGTCTTCAAAGTGATATCATTACTCCTCAGTCATTTGGAAAGGTCCCTTAAGGCAGATTTTCCCCAGGGCAATGCATTCCCTTATTTATGTGTCTTTCAGAAGAGGATAAGCTAAATAAATGTCAAATCTCAAAAACAAGTATTTATGGGCATTACAAAATTCTTCAATTAGACTGAAAAGAGACTGGGGTAAATATTTATGCAGTAAATAATCTACAAGGAGATATCTTAGAATGGGATCCTTATACAGAAACTTCAACTTTTATTTTAAAAAAAAGGACAACAAATAAAATTTTCAAAAGGGTTGAGGTATGAAGAGTCCCTTTACAAGAAACACTCACCATTTTCTTCTCCATCTTCTGAAGCCTAAGAGAAGGTGGTCTCTCAAGTGAGAAAGTCACTTCAAGAGCAGGGACTAGATCAGTTGGGAAGCAAAGAAATCATGCCAGGTCTTGCCAGCATCTGCTCTCTGTCCCTGAGATCTGTCAATGGGCAAGACGGTCACACAGATGGCAAGACGGTCACACAGATGCCCAAGTGCCTGGACTGAACCAGTTCTCCACGCAACACACCTGAGACCTGAAAGGGAAGAAAGATGGGGAGGTAAGACTCAGGATTGAGTAGGCAGCGTGAAGAGGGGTCCAGTCCTGGGCATTTCTGCATGCAGAGGTCATTTTGACCAGCAGCAGGGCGGGCTCTGTCTGGCCTGCAGAGCGCACACGTGTCTTATTCATGCAGGTTTAAGGGCACCTTGCTTGTGCCAAGCAGATGACAGATCAAGGCATCTCCTTATGTCAGAGCAGGAGGAGAGCTCATTCAGAATGTGATGTCAACCACAATGAAATGGTGCCTGCATCTATCCATCCATCTAGAAATCTACGTATAGGTATACATCTATCTAGACACTATGTATTCAGACATGTATCTATCTAGATACAGTACCTGTCTAGGGATCTAAATATGTATCTCTCTGCATATGTATCTATCTAGGTATCTAAATATGTAACTCTCTAGACATCTATCTATGTATCTATCTATCTATCTACCTACCTACCTACCTAAATACGCATCCATCTAGATATATTTGCATATATAGAGATATACATACACAAATATATAGACACAAATAGATATAAACAGACATAAATATATGTATATTTAGAGTCACAGTTCAGATCCATATTCAAAAGGGTCTCAACGCTCTCAGCTGACCCCTGTCTATCTGTGTGTGGCTGGAAGCCAGCCCCTGCACGTGGACGGCTTTAAAATTGGAAAATGTCTTCTCTTGGGAGCCAGAGAAGCTGCCCCACATGAAGGACCTGGCTGAAAGCTGAGGCTTTCTCGGAGTCAAAGGGCTGTAACTAACACAAGCGGAACTGAACTTCAGGTCCCACAATCAAATGTACCATCTCTTAGCTCAAGCAGAGCACATTTAAAGCCATGAAGACGATTCCTTTTGCAACAGGCCTCCTTCCCTGCCTCGCTACCATGACGACTAATGGGGGGCGCGGAGTGTGAAGCCCTGAGCACAGCGTCCAGCCACCAGGGGACTGACCCCCACCCTGGTCCTCCATCCACACTCACGTCCCGACCCCCCGGGGACTGACCACCACCCTG